AAATGATTAATAGTTAAAGTGTTAAACAACCACCAAAGCATCCAAAAAAAAAATCTATTAGGGCAATATACAAATAGAACCTTAAAAACATTTGTTTTAACCAAAAACGTGCTAGAGTAACATAGAAACTCGAAGGGCTCGATGTTAAGTTCAGTTATTAGTTCATAACCACTATTGTCTCAAATGCTACATCGATTACAATATATCTAATCGTTGTAGACAAAGGGATCATTTTTTTTAAATTATATACATTTTTACTCCTAAATATTTGATGATATTAGGAAAAAAAAACAAGAGATATGTTTATGGATTAGATAGGTGAACCTTGGCATACCATGTGAGGCTTCTTTCCTTATAAGGCTTAAACTTTAAAAGTGAAATTGTTTGACGGGAAAGTATCTAACCTAATAAATGAAAATCAATTTTGCAAAATGTCATGTTCTCATTGAATTTGACACATGCCATTTTTTAAAAGTTTTTTTGAATTTTTTTTTTCACTTGTCATTTTCTTGTATTTTTCATTTTCTTAAATTTAAAATCCACATTTTAGAGAGATTTATATATGTAAAGTAGATTATTCTATTAAATTCCATAATAAATGCTCTACAACCATTCAAATATCTTATATTATATATTAAATTACTTACTTTATTTATTATATTCTTTGTATTTATATAAAACTATTACTTTCAAAAATATATAATTCTTATAATTTTATATTAAACTTTTTTTATACCCGTGTAGTACACAGGTTTCACACCTAGTGTTTTTTTAATAAAGACCATTATAGAATGTCTAGAATTCCCTCCTCCACGACAAAGTAAGGATCTTTCTGGAGTATTTTGTAATGTTAAAAATGGGCAAATAAGAAGTTTAGCTTCAAATATTGCTAGAAATCTCAGTAATGACATCGATACTGGAAAAGAATAGTTCTCAGTCCTTAATTGATGATTTTATTTTTTTTTCAATAAGGGGAATTGTTTTTTTTTAAGTATAAAATAAAAAAATCATGCATACAGAAGAGCCAAAGAGTCAAAGACTTTTTGCATTCTTTTTGAAATGACAAATCTAATATACCTCTAATTCCATATATGTCCCAAACGGACTTGACTTGATTTCTATCACAGGATGGTTCATTTTTTTCTTTTAGAAAAATTTGCTAAATTGGTCCCTGTGGTTTGTCATTTTCTTTGGATCCAGTCCAATGATTTGTAAAATTGTGGTTTTGGTCATTTTAGCCTGCTTTCATTGTGATTTAGTCCTCTCCCAAACTTAGAAGACTCTTTTAGCCCATGGATTTTTTTTTCTATTTCTTTAGTTCTTTTACTTATTTAAGTAAGAAAAGGGCCCACAGCCCACCCTTGCCACCTCATCCTACCCCACCCACATCTCTCTCTCTCTCTCTCTCTATATATATATATATATATATATATATATATATATATATATATATATATATATATTCTTCTTCATCCCTTCTTCATCTCCAATAAAACTTAGTTGTAGACAAAACGATCAACATCATTCGAAATCATCTACAATTTTCCCCGAAATATTAAATGGAATTATAAGATAAAAAATAGATTACATTGAGTGAACCTTTTCATACCTTGTTAGGGTTCATCTTTCTTCCTTAACAGAAATGAAGAGAGAACACAGAGGTAGCCAATTTTTTTGCTAAAGTGAAATGAAAATGTGTCAAAGTTGTTTAAGTAAAGGCATTTACTCTCAATACCATAAAGTGTTATAGTTTGACCATATTGTATTTTTGTGATAATGGCCATTGTTTAATTGCCTCCTGCAGTAGGATAAAATAAGGGGGCATAAATTGTTATTTCAATGTTAAAAATGGGTAAATATGTAATTTCACCTTCAAGTGTTTTCCTCGAAATATCCATAATCTGGAAAAGGATAAGTGTTGCATCATATATGGAGATTTTGTAACTGAATATCTATTACTTTCAAATGAAAGTATTATAGATTGAATTGTATTAAATTTGGAATCCAAGATATATATCATCTACCATATTACAACCGTTACAAA